CCCCCCCCCGATAAAGTATGATTTTCCATTATGCGAGATAACCCTTTGCGTCACAGTGGGACATATATTGTCCCACCAACATTTTCGTTATTTTTAGCGATTTCTAAACTTCTAACTTCTAGGCAGTCATAATCGATTATGTTATTACTATACATTCGCAAAAGCATAAGGAAGTGAAAATAAATATCATATAGTTTAAATGTTTAATTGTTAGCTGGAAACAAGTGAAAATTGAAGACAGTTCTTTTTTTCCAGAAAAATTAATTTGTAAACAAACTATTAGGAATCGACGCATCACAATATCATCAGTTTATTAAGGACGCTTGAGAGTATTATTGTAATATTTTTACGGGATTTTTCATAGATTCGATTTTTTACAATAAATTATTGGAACATTTGTAATATCTTTTTTCTGATTATTCTTTTCGGTAAATTTTGTCATTCTCACCCAGTAATCCGCCATTTGAATGTCGACTATTTTTGTCGTTGTTAACATATAAGAGAAAACTTGTATTCGAAATACAAAAGGATTTCACGGAGGGATCAAAATTTGTCGAATGATCGGTCCCCCATGTTGCCACTGGCTATTTTAAATTTTATAACTCTGACTTCAGATTCATCAGCGACCCCGAGTACTTAGATGCCAGATTTCGAAACACTCATACGATTGCAAAATTGCAAGACGTCGCTCGACGTCCGCTCTTTCATGCGTGTTTCGACTGAATCTCCGAGGTGGGGACGGAAATTTCGCGTCTTTCCAACGTCGAGTACGAATCAAGGAGTTTCTTTGTCTTCCACGTAACGATCGTCGATGGTTTTGTCGAGTGCTCGGAAAAGGTCGTCACCGGTTCGCTGGCTGGGAGAAGAACGAAGATCAACTCGCGCATTTTACAACTCGTGCAGGCGACTGATTACCCGTATCCTGATTATCGAACGTAGCCGTGGAACACACACAGTCTGTCCGTCGCAAACAGGCTTGGTCCATGTTCATGTCGACTGAAACCGAAGGGTCGTTTCCTGACGGACCATCCACGATACGAAGTGACACAGCTACTGGAAGATATATTCCGTTGCGAATGAATAATCGGGGTCGACTTCGCTTATTCAAACACTCTCGTAATTTAAGGGTTCCGCCCGGAACGCACAGCGATCTGGTCCATCTTTGTGTGTGTGTGTGTGTGTGTGAGAGGGACATAAGAAA